GCTGCGGCCATTGGCTCTTTTCCTCGGCAGCTTTTTCGCGAAGTCGGATGCCTTGTACGTGGCTCGTTTCAACGCGCAGAAGTTCCTGGAGTTGTCACAGGAGTTTCTCAAAGATCCATCTCCTGAGGGGCTAAAGCCTATGGTCCAAAGGCTTCTTCATGCTCGGCAAGAGGACGTCAAAGGCCTGACAGATAGGGATATTCAGACAAGCGCAGCAGCCAATATTGGTGCTGGGAGTGACACCACAGGAATTGGTCTTAGCTCAGTGATATTCTACTCGTTTCGATTCCCCGAGAAGCTGCAGAAGCTGCGACAAGAAATTCAAGATGCTGGTCTAGGAAGCGAGCCTTCTTTCCAGGATACTCAGAAATTGCCGTATCTGCAGGCTATTATCAAGGAGTCGATGCGTCTGCATCCGGGTGTTGGGTTTCCGCTTTTCCGTATCGTGCCGAAGGGTGGTGCTGTTATTTGTGGACGATTCTTCCCGGAAGGTGTAAGTTGTGCCTTCTCTGGATCCGTACCCCACTTTTGCTAAGGGAGTTATAGACGAATGTCGGTGTAAATAGCTGGGTCATTCACCGGGATGAGAGTATCTGGGGCTCCGATGCTGATGACTTCGTGCCTGAAAGATGGTTGACGGATGACTCTGAAAAGCTCCGAACAATGGAACAGTGTCTGATTCCTTTCGGAGTTGGATCAAGGACATGTATCGGCAAGAATATCTCGCTGTATGAGATCAACAAACTCATCCCGCAGCTTGTTCGGGACTATGACATCGATATACAGCAGAAAGGTGGTACAGACATGAGGTCAAAGAATATGTGGTTTGTCAAGCCGGTGCAGTTTGAAATAAAGATCAGGCAGAGGTCAGTTAGATCTGATGCATGAAGTACGTGGTGAAGATGGAAGGAGTTCACAATAGCTCTAGGTAAAGGTTTACTTTACAGGAGGGCAGCATACCGATCTTCCAGGTGCATATCGGTAGTGACGTGCTACGAATAAGAATCAGAGTGATTGGTAATTTTCCGGCTAGCGCATGCTCTGCTACACGTAAGCTTTCATATCCTTTTTTTGGGTTGTATCACCAAATATGTTACCGGGAGTTTGGCGGGCATGAACGACCCGATTGCCGGTTAGTACATATGATAAGAAAGACGACTTTTACCTGGTTTGATCCGAGGGAAATGGATGTAAATTGATCCAATAGGTAAATACGATCGATTCGCGACCCATTTCGTAGAAACTGCAAGAAATATACATGTAACGATCAGAGTGCCAAGACAAACCAGATCAATGATTCAAAAGCCGCTTTGACCAGAAAGAAGTCCATGGAGCTCTGTACAGTATTGTGCCTACGTTGAACGGCATATCAGCGGACCTCGGCTTGGTTTCCCTAAAATTTCTATCTTGGGAATCCAGGAAACAATAGGAGGCTATTCAGATTTCCGCATTACACATTCTAGCCAAGCTGGCTAGGCCCATATTACTGCGAAATAACGAATACAAACAGAATCCTGCAATTTGTCGCCTCGGGGAAACCGGCAACAACGACTGAGAATTGGGCAGGACCATGTGGGCCATGAAAATGGCCATTGTGACGGTTCACACCTTCCAATTCTTCTACAATTATCCCGTGGTTATACTTTGTGGAGACTGATCTTCTCGAATTCGGTCGGCAGTCCTAATGATCAACAGACTGACAGTCCCGTCCCATGCGTGTTCACGATCATGGACAGTGCCTCGTGGTTAATAATCGGACTGGGATACGCAGGAAAATGAAAACAGGCGGATATTCCCTTTTCCATTACCCTGAAACCTTGAGACAGGGCACCTGCCTCGTGACTTCAATATTCTCGAAAACCAGATAATCGGGGTAGATGTTGGGAATGGTCCGGCGCGAGTGTTTTAGCATCAATGAACAAAACTGCATGAATTCGAAGAATTTCAGCCAAAGCCCGGTCTCGACATTCAGACACGGTACATCAAGGACAGGTGTGATGCCATTCAATAATCCCGCGACAATGGCGGAGTTGGCATCCGATTCTGTGATCTGCGACAGTCAAAGTTCAGTGTGATTGCGGGCGAACATCTATCGAAAACGTTTGAGTGGGGCGGAACCCGCGTTGAGGTCTCAAACACCCTTCCGAGGTTTTCCCAGAGGCACCGAAGACGAGACATGTCGAACTGTTCTATGTATACTCCTGGCAATCCATTTACCGGCCGCTAGGGAGCTACACTATTAGAACAAAGGGTGCGGTCCGACCACTGAACGCCCGGGGCTCAAAATTGGGTCGCCCGAACGGATCCCCACTATAGCCGATCATGAAACAACGGAGCAAGCCCTAATCACATCCCGAATTCTGGTGAGCCACTGATGGTTCTCAACCGCAGGCAAACTGCCTTTTTCTAACCTCGGCGCATGGGTGACTGCTGCACATGGTTTCGAAGTCTAGTCCCTAATCTAATCCTATCCAAGGACGATTTCCGTTCCGGTGATTTTCCCTCCCGGGGTACCCGACCTATAGTGATGTATCAGTGTTGTTTCAACCGATCAAGCTTTTACCGGCACGCGGATTATAAGGATGTAGCATTATAAAAGGAAGTTGGGTAGAACGGTTCTGTTTTTATTTACCTACAAACTCGAGACTCATTGTAGTACCATTCGTTTCTTACCTCAGTCTTTTTTCTTGTCCTTCATTTCTTTCGTCATGCGTGTCGGAAAGTCCACTCTTTTTGGCGGTCTCGCCCTGACTCCCCTGGCGTTGGCTGTGCCAATGCTCCAGTCTCGAGCCACTGCCGGTTAGCCTTCTACGACGTTTTGGTATGGCCATATTCTAATTCTTGCAGATACGGCCGAATGGACGGAGCTACACAGAGCTGCGCAGCTGTCCTCTGCAGCTTACACCGGGTGTACCGGTACTGCCTTCGATGTCACCATCACCAAGCAAATCAATGAGCTCACAACCGATACCCAGGTATGTGCCGTGCCCCTATCAAGCCTGCTTATACTAATAAACTACAAGGGCTTCATTGGTTACTCCACCGAGAAGAAGCGTATCACCGTCGCCATGAGGGGTTCCACTAGCGGTTAGTACATGAAAACCACAACCACATTGGCTGAGAACTAAACTGACATCAACAAAAGCAACCGACATTGCCAACGATGTCGACACCACCCTCGTCGAGCCTAGCCTGTCTGGCGTCAACTTCCCATCCGGCGCCAAGATGATGCACGGCATCTATTCTCCCTGGTCTTCCGTGCACGATGATGTGATCTCGGAGGTCAAGTCGCTGGTCGAGCAGTACCCCGACTACACCATCGAATCGACGGGACACTCCCTCGGTGGCTCTCTCACCTATATATCCTATATTGCGCTTGCACAAAACTTCCCCGGAAAGACAATCATCAGCAATGCCCTTGCCGCCTACCCCATCGGTAACGAGGACTTTGCCAACTTTGGTGCTTCTCAGAACGGCACCCTGAACCGGGGTAACAATGCTGATGATGGTGTTCCTGTAAGTTGCTCTCAACCCTATATAATCTGACCTACAATGCTTACTAGCTATGTTTCAGAACATGTACGTTATGTGGCCTTGGGACTTTGTTCACTATGGCACTGTGAGTTTTCCTACTTCTATGAGTCCGCTTTGTACGCTTTCCTAACTTTGGTTTACTACAGGAATACTACAGCTCCGGAACCCAGGCCAGCACGGTCAAGTGCAGTGGTGAGCGCGATACCTCTTGCTCGGCGGGTAACGGCCAGGTTGGTGTCACTGCTGGACACTTTTCCAACTTTGGTATCTCGATGGGTCTTGCTGGATGCTCTTCGTCGCTTTTCTAAGCCGATAGTCCTTATGTTATGCTGAGAAGGGGTGGGCTTAGATGGTAGGGTTTGGAAAATTATGCTACTTTGGACTAGTAGGCAGGGTTCTTAGTATCTCGCAGCGGGACTTGGCGGGGTGAACCATCATTATACATACGATAGACCTGTTTTGGTTATGATAGATGTCTTGTGACTTGTTAGTTCATGTTTATACTATTATGCAGTTAGAGCTTTCGTTTCCTCTCCTTATCCTATAGACACACACATATTTAATGTTCTACCTACTCCCAATTGAGAGATTATTGGTTTATAAAACTGAAGTGAACACTACTACTTAGACTAACCGAATATTCAAGTGCAGTCAAACATCTTCCGTGTTCGGCACTTTCCCACTTGACCAAAATGTATTTCCAACCCAGAGAAACGCAACATGCCCAATCACCTCTATAAAAACCAACCCGAAATATACATGACTCAAATAAGAATTGATAAGCCTTTCATACCAGTCGTAAGCAATCGCCGAGGGCGGACTAATGCAAACCCTACCCGAAGCGGTATAGGATGCCGAGCTTTCCTCCCCGACTGTGTGCCAAGACGCGGCAGCCCCAACGCTTAGTTGCATGACCTTGGCCGAACTAACTTCGTTTTCGGTAACGAGAGCCATAGCGAGGTTGTTGGTCGGAAGTGTTGAGCCGGGAGGGGGCAGGACGAGTGGTACCTCGGGTATACGGTGCCGAAGACTCTTCTGCTCGCTTTGAGGGTAGCTAGGCGGGTGGTATCAGAGATTGAAGTTTGGTTGTGGTTTTTTTTTCCCTCGTTATTTTTGACTAAGAAATAAATCTATATACATAATGGTAGAGGCGAAGAAAGATAAAGAATAGCTCATTAGAAAGTATTGCCTCAGTGTGTTCGGTCCTGCGTTATCCCTTTCCTTTCAGGCATAGATGCGGGAGATCGTGGGTATATGATAACGGCATCCATGGTAGACTTGCTTTCAACGGTATCGATGTTTTGTAGCTGAGCCAGTGATCATGGGAATAGTGTAATCATGAAATGGCGAAAAACCTGATCAGATAGAAATTTGTTAGTGGACTGTCTAGTACCAGCAGTAGTTGGACATTGCTGATGCCTCAACCCGGAAGCACTTACCCAGTTTCTTGAGTTCAACCGTCAGGCTTAGATAAACAGGGTGGCAGCCATGGTGCCAAGACCCCAGAGGGCAGCTCCGGCTCCGAGCCTCTCCGCTCCATTGTGCTCAATCGGGAACTCATCAGGGTCGTCAGTGTTGCAGTGACCTCCCTCCTCAGTCGAACTCAGCGTGCAGTTAGCCGAGTGGCCATTGTTATCCTGGAAGGTGACCTGGGCGGTGGACCAATCCACAGTGACGGATGATGTATCGCAGATAGACTTGGTCTGGATGCCCCTGTTGTGGCCGCACTTCTTTCCGAAAGGCTTCGAACTGCCCTTGCAGCCAAAAAGCTCATCATCAAGGATGACAGTGCAGTGTGTCACGTACTCATTCGCAGGCGGCGTGGTCGTCCTGAGGGAGATCTGAGATCCGGCAACGGTATGCGCCAGAGCCACAAGGGCACCGAGCTTGACGATCCAGGAAGGCATGGCTGAGGGCGTTGTCTTGGAGAGGAGCAGCTGGCAGATTGGGGTCTATTGCAGGAGAGAAGCGATTGGGTCACCACAGCTCTAGCTTTCCTGAAGAGAAGAAGGTCCTCTTATATGCTGCTACCCAGACAGGCATCTGCTGTGCCGGCATAGCCGGATAGCAAAATTCATATAGTATACAGAGTGACCATCCAATGACAAGAAGTAACGAGTGGGTACGTAGTAGGTCGTTTATCCACTGCTCGCGGACAACGAACAAATCGCGCAGCAAGTATTCGCGCTGAGGTCGGCACTGGACGGGCTTGGCGCTTGGCGCTTGGCTTCAGGGTTCAGGGACTGTCAGGGTTCACAGACCCTGAAAAGTCCCTGTAGCAACTACTCGGCGAGCGGCGGCGGCCATGAAAGTGTTGAACCATATGATGCGACTAGGAGAGAAGCCCCTTATTGAGAAGACCATGTGTACCAGTATCCAATTATGGCAGCCAAAAGACGTTGTTTGCTCTTTGTTCATAGATATGGTCGGTCAGACGACGTGAGCTTTGGAGCACCGAGATATCCGGTCAGGCCCCACCAGCAGTACCTTAGGCGGAAAGTCGCATAGCAGCGCACGTTGGTAATTTCGTTCTCATTCGGTGCCAATGGCATTGTCAACATAGCGTGTGGCTTTCAGCGTATTTGCAATAGGTAAACTGCAAGCATTCTCTCATTTCGATGCTTGCTTTTACGCCCTATCGTGTTTGTGATATGTTGATGTCAGTGGTTTTGGGCTCAGTGTAGGTTGGAAGTCGTTTTCGAGCGGGGGAGGCCGAAGCTGCATTAGCAGACGTCTGGCTAATTATCCGACTTGCCAGGTCTGGTAGGAGCCATGTCAAATGAAGAAGTCGGACATTGATCCGCGGGAAGGAAGAACGAGGTCCATCGGGAGAATCATTCCATGAATAATTGATTCCATCAAGAGTTTCGATGGATCGGAGAAACGGTAACTCAAAGAGGAATAGCCTCGAATGGCTGTTATCACCTGATAGATGGTCACGTGATGCATGGGCGACATTCATACACGTGATGTTGAGGTAGTTACTTCCGACTATCGGAAGTTTAGCACCAAACTACCATAGTATGTGCTTACTCGTTGTGTACCCACCTCTCCTTACGATAACAAGCAGCCATGTCATTTTATCATGACTTGCATGAACCTATGGCAGACATGAGTCTGTGTTCATACTTCTCTCTCTTTCTATACCTCTCCCTCCCTCCTCCCTATTCTGCAATTGATTTACACAATGATTTCAGCATTTCCGTCATCGGTGGAGATGAAGGGGCCCATGCCAGGGCGAAGCATATCATTCCCCCTTGGGGTAATGGGTTCCGTCACTGTGTCAGTGCCATCACTTTCTTGCAATCACATATTCATTAGTACTGACGACCACCAAAGGACACATCTGATTCGTCAGATGGACCATGGTCGACCTGCAGCTGCAGTTCCAATGCTCCGGGACCATGTTGGGAGCATGGAGCATGCGACGGGGCCTCCGCATTGCGATCCAACCAGGAGAAGTGCTAAACTTTTGACAGTGGGTCTCTTTGCTGATCGTCAAATCACCGGAGATGCGCGCTAGCCACCCATCCCTCATGCCAATCCATGGAACACTCCATGGTGTACGGGCTGAAATGGAGACATCATAAGTATATTTGGTTTTAGATATCACATTCGATGAACTTGCTCCGCTAGAAGTCAAGCCAAGTGCACGCGTCGCGAGCGCATAGAATCAGTAAGCTTCTGAGCTGAAGAACCACGCTGTCAGCTGGGCAGCGATTAATCTCCCGTGTCCCCACCTGCTCGGGATCTCTGCCACTGAGCTTCGATCGATCGGCCCAATGAGGGCCCCTGCCGTGCTCCATGGTTCGTCTAGTGTGCCTCTAACTATGCAGGTCGATTCAGATCGAGCAATGATAGAGCGAGAAGAATAGGGATGGCTGACGAAGTTCAGCTCAGCCGCACCTGCCTCCCCCTGTCTTATGTATTTCAGTTCGCCCCATCGCGACGACTGTGTGATTGCTTTTCGCAGGTCTCTGACTTCCACGATCGGATACGCCCACCATGAAGGACGTCAAATCGCTCCTGAATCGCAAAGATGGGGACGATGAAAGATTGGGGTATGGCGAGGAATCGATGACGCAGCTGTGGGATAAGGCTTTTGCAAAGGCAAAGGGAGATTTGAAATTCGACCCAGCCGAAGAAGCGCACCTAGCCGACTTCCACTCAGCAAGCGACCCTCTCGCTCAAACAGAGGCCCTTTTCCGCGATTGGAGGCACCCCCAAGCTGACAAGTTTGGAAACAAATTACGCGAGCCAGTGCAACAGTGTATGTCCTGGGCACAGAAAGCGTGCACTTATGTCGAAGGCCACGCAAGCGGGACTGTATGTATATGGCTATTCCAAAGAATTTCGCTCAATTATCTAACCAACTTAGTATGCCGAACCAGCCAAGCTGCTCGCTGGGGGCATATCGTATTTGCTCAAGGTAAACCATGCGCGGGAATCTCTGCCCCATCTCACCAGCCCAATTTCGACCAGATAGCTCATACCAAGCAGGCTGCCCAGGATGTGAGCGCAGACCTGAACACTGTTCAGGCAACGTTTCAGACAATCACTGCTGCAATGCAAGAAATTGATACTTTCGACAAATATCCCGTCGTCACGCCAACTGCCAAGCAAAGCCTAGTGGGTGTTTTTATCGCCTTGTTGCAGTTTTGCTCCTATGTAGGGCACGATCTGCGAAGCCAAAAACGTATCAGTAGGTCTACCCAAGTCACAGAAAAGTGCGCATCCTTTGTCTCAAGAGTTGCAACTAAGGGGTTTCCAACCATAGCGCTTTTCGCAAAAAAACTCTTCAATTACCAGACCGACTTGACCTCCGGTAAATGCGAAAAGGTTGAACAAGCGATCAAGAACTTCCACAAGTCAATAAAAATTGAAGGATACAATGATACCAAAGAGATCAAGGATGGCGTTAACTGGCTGATCAAGAATACCAATACCAAGATGCAGCAGACTGCCTTCTCGTTCGATATGCACAGCATGTCTGAGAAAGGGAACGTGTTTGATAAGCTGACGAAAACCCTCCAAAGCAAGCTCAATCTCAACCTCACAGTGATGTCTCAGATGGCCACTCGCATGGACTCATTCATGCCACAACTGATTGATGACGGTTTACTGTGGGTTGAAAAGAATGACTATTTTAGGAAGTGGCTATACCCGCACGGCACCTGTCCTTTATTATACTTTAAAGGCGGTGATGGCGTGGGAAAGACGTTCCTAACAGCACATTGCTATCAGCTGATACCATCAATAGCCGGAAGAGATCAAACTCTGGTTCAGAAAGAAACTGTGCGACAGCAACTAATAGTCACTTACTTTCTGTTCGAGCCAGGCATGCAGTACAATCAGAGCTTCGCCAGCGTTGTGGCCTCTATTCTATTCCAGATTGCAGCCCAGGATCCAAAGTGGTGTGACGCGATAGCCACCAAACCTGTCTTGGATTCGCGCGATGCGAAAATGGTCTGGGATGAGCTCGTGCTGAAGCGGTTTGAGAAGCGATCACATTCGTCCGAACAGTTGTACATCCTGCTGGACGGTATTTCGGAGATGCAGCCCAAAGAGCGAGAATCACTTTTGGGTCTCTTATATGAGACACTTGGGGAAAGGAACCATCGTATTTGGGTCCTCCTGACAGGGTCTCACGATCAGGGAGAACTCTTTCCATCCGACCTGGCGGAAAAAGCATCCATTCCTGAAATCAGCATGTGGAATACTGACCCTCTTCAAGACAAGATCATTCTCCAACGCATGAGTTCCTTTAACAAGCTCTCGCACCTTTTGCGTTTCCATCAGGACCTCGTCAAGGAGGTCTCGGACTTCATAAAGCACTTATCAGAAGGTGAGCTGACCGGTCCCTCCTATGTGGAAGTTCTTCTCTTTTAACGCGGTAGATGGCTACTAGGAAACCTGTCTGTATTGGACCAGACCATCGAAATTATGGAACAGTATGAAGTTAAAGGTCCGAAGAGCTTTGGCAGGTTCAAAGAGATGATAGGTGATGGAGAAGACGCTTTGGTGAGGAGAGCTCTGGCAAAAGACAACGAGCCACTTGAGAAGGCTGTCAAAAAAGTGCTATTCTGGTGCGCATTTGCGAAGCAGACTCTCACGGTGACCAACCTAAACCAGATACTTGCCCTTGACGATGATGCGCGGGTAAGGGGTCTGGGGCTGGAACCCATCCTGTCTCAGTGTAAGAAGTAAGGACTGCTGATCCCAGAAAGCGCGATACACGTTCAATCTGACCTTTTCATAGTCTCCTTTTCATGCGGCAGATGCTTCCTCCCGACTTGGGCCCCTCGAATTTGGACCGCGAGCTATATTGGTGTTCCCGACCCGAGCACGAGACTGAGAACTCTAATCAGAAATCCCGCAAAACCCCGTCCATCGGTGATTATCAATACATCGAGTTCCGCAACGCAAAGGTCAGAGAATGCGTCAAAAGGGGTCAATTCCAGCCAGGTCTGGACGTAAATGCTGAGAAGGTTAACATATTTGTCACTCTTTGCGACGTTCTTTGCGATCACAAAGCGGATAAACCTACCGCTCTCTGTCAATATGCGGCCTGCCACCTCATCCAGCATCTAAAAGACATTGACAGAGAAATTGTTCCCCAATGGCAACGACCCAGTACCAAGGACGCTAAGAAGGGCTTCAAAGATAAGATGTCACATTACAGGGACATGAGGCCCACAAAACCACAAGAGATCCCGAATAGGGAGCTGAAGAAGGTCGGAGAAGCTTTGGGCAGGGTTCTGACAAACGAAACTGGCGTTTCTTCTGTGTTCGAGGATATACTATGGAACTCATCTGACAGGCAAATTCACTTCGATATCTATGATACCGACAAGGCCCGGAGCACCAATGAACTTGTGCGGGCTTGGATAGAAAAGCTGACAGAAAGAGACGAGAGAGAAAACTTATCTCTTCCGACTCAGATATGGACCTGGGCCCAGGCCTTGAAGAAGCGTCCTGAAGGAATGCTGGAAGATCTAGCTAAAGGCCATATTCGCAGCTGGGTTCAAAAATCCACTCCTGAGGGCGCTAAGGGTCCATACCGGCTTGCCTATCGCGCGTTGTTCAATGTACGTACCTGGGTACCGATAGCAATCAGTCCTGGTGAGCTAACTTGTTTAGACTGGACAATACAAGCACTGGTCCCGAGATGATGATCAGATCAGCGCGAAGATCGCTCGAGATCTGTTTTTGTGGTGCAGAGACTCGCGCACACGGTTTGCGCAAGCGCGACTTACAGCCGCCCTCCTCCTGTATGAATGCGATGACCAGGTCGACCGAGACTATGCTCTCTTCCTGTATGAGCAGAACCGTTACTTGGACGATTCAATGTGTGCGGAGAAGCTGTATTCATTGCTTGGACTTGCAGAACATTCTGTATCCAAGGCCGGAGTCAACGGTGTCGATGAATGGACAAAGGTCAAGGAGTACACTGATGAAGCCCTGAAGTGCTGGAAAGATACGGATGCCGCATTGCGACCTAATTTCAACCTCGACCGTTGCAGAAGGGTCTATATGCTTTCCGTCCAAGCCTGCATGGCCCTCGGTGATAAGACGCGAGCCCACGATAGATGCATAGAAGTGCTAAGCGGTGAATTCAAGAATAAAAGAGGGCTAAATTATTTCCTGACTATCCTCGTGCAGATTTATGCAGAGAAGGAAGATCATATGGCTATCATCAATACGGTAGAAAGGCAGATGGCTACCCAGGCAACCAACTTCATTCCCACTTGGCTGATGAGCCGCTCTCGCCAAACGAATAAAGACGACTGGCTTCGCCGGGCAGCTGTGGCAACTGGCAACGTCGAAGTCGTTATACGAATCTACGACAGTGCCATAAATTATTGGGCTTATCAAGGGCTATTCCACGAGACATGTGTCATGCTATCGGAACTTGCAATCATTTACCGACAAGATTGTCATGCAATCAGGATGGCCGAAGATATCTTTAACAGGATACTGGATGCTATGATGAGAGATGAGACCCTCCAAGTTGACTCTAAACTGCTCAGCATTATTATCACAGAGCGCTTCGACATTTACTACAATCGATTCAGCAAGACCAAGGTCCAACAGTCGAAAATGTCTCTGTGTTATGCAGCATCTGACCTAATCAACAATGTCCGGGTAGCAGATGTCATAGAATCATCTGCCAAAGCAAACGCTCTCATAACGCTCGCCAAAATGTTTTCACTCATGAATCATAAACGTCGGGCGTACGAATTAGCCGAACAAGCATTCAAGCTCTGTATCGCCGATCTGGATGACTGGGTCGATGGTAACGACATGTCTGCTTTTCGCACCCTGGCAAAGGTGCTGTATTGGCTTAACCTCAAAAAGGATGCCGGAATCGCAGCGTCTCTCATATTTGATCGTGCCAATGCCGACGCGGTGCAAGTCAGCGAGGATGAATTCCAAATCACCTTATCGGCATACCTTCATGATCGTACTGCGCCAAAACCTGCTGTCGATGGATGGATGGGTTTGAAGGTCGACCCAAGCAGCCCCGCCGCTGCGCCAGCAGCCCATCCTGGGGAGCCGTTAAGCCCACAGTCCGTCAAGAGCGCGTGCACTTGTCATTGCTCTGTTGATAGTACAAACGAGTCCCCAACAACGGCAGTGACGACTCCCGACAGCATGCCCATCCCGGACGAGACTATCGACGTCGATGAAAGTAATGGCTGCACGCTGCAGTGCATGGGGCCCTGCAATAAGCCGAAGTTGAGCAAGTGGGATTTGGAGGCACCTCAGTGGTACATGTGTCTTGACTGCCCGGCGACCGACTACTGCAATGACTGCAACAAGAGTCGGGCTGGGTTGCGGGCCTCGCCCGACAAGGGGCTCTGGTCTAAGATGTGCTGGGGCAATCACAGTTTTATAGAACAACCCATCAAAGGATGGAAGGGTGTGAAGGACGGTGTTATCCGGGTAGGAGATAGTAGCCGGGGAGTGAGAGATTGGCTCACGGATGTGAGGGAAAGAGGCAACCAAGAGATCAAAAACTATCTGAACAAGATCAACAAGAAATGATCTCCTTCCCCTCACCACACACTCATTCACACTTACCCTCACTTATTTTGTGTTTTCCTTCTCTTTTCGTTTCGTTTCGTTTCTTTTCTCTTTCTTTTACCCTCTTCCTTACAGACCCTCATTGCAACATCTTTCTTCTTGCTCTTCTTCCTATTCCCTCTTTGCCTGTTCCTACTCTTTTCGTATGATTCCCTCTTTATCTTTCACATACTTACTTTCACTTTTCTGTTTACCACGAACTACCCACTGATATCCCTCGCTATATAATCCATAATACTATACCCAGCCAGAATACCATTCCATTTACATGTCACTTATGCCTTATGCTTCATGTTAATGCCATTTTCTGTTCCAAAGAAGGCAGTTGTACCCTGTAATGGCACGTAGGTTCATTGGTGATTCCACGGCATCTTTCTCAATCACTCTCCACTTGTAGATAGAACAGCCAATTCGTCCCACTGACTACTAACGGCCGAGACGAACCCTACATCATCAAACCGTTATCTATCATCATCCCACCCACAAACCGACCTAACATCCTCCCCATCCACATACCAATCACCCACCTCACCCCCCACCATCCCCCAAAATATCCCCCACCGCCTTCTCCGCCAACATGTAAACCCCCAAAACCGGAAACGTCCCCTGTGCCCTAGGAAACACACTCGCATCCACAACCCTCAGTCCCCTTACGCCCCTAACCCTAAACTTCCCATCCACCACCGCCCCCTCATCATCACCCCCCTCACCCCTTCCAATCCTACAAGTGCCCACAGCATGATGCCCCCACGACGTATCCAACACATACTGCCTCAGCTCTTCATACCCCTGTACCTCCTTCCCCGGGAGCGTCTCCCACGTAGGTATAAGTTGTCTCTTCAGTGCTTTTCTCGCAACCCTAATCGCATCCACTAAGGCGAATAGATCCTTCTCTGAATCAGGATCTGAAAAGGAGTTGAAGAGGATATGAGGAGGATCGAGCGGATCTGACGAGGAGATATTCACCGTTCCGGCTCTGTTGGACGGGTGCGCTTGGATGATGGCCCATGTGAAGGAGTGGTGCGTTAGGGTTAGGTTGACTTCGAAGCCGGGGAAGTAGCCGCGGAAGTTGACGAGGCCGCCGTAGATTATTGTGTTGTAGTCATCATTGTTGTTGTCTTTATTGCTGTTGGGGGTAGTGGATGTGTTGGGAAAGGGGGTATGGTGGAGTAATGTACTAGTAAATCCCGCGGAGGAGTAAATTCCTCTATCTTTATGTAGTCCTTTCGGATTCAGCCAGCGGATCAAACACGGGTCGGATGTGTAGTTGAACGTGCAGCCGTTTAGGATGCGGAAGGGGAATGGGGCTTCGACTACGACGGAGGTTTCGTAGTGGTCTTGGAGGTTTGCGCCGACGCCTGGGAGGTTGACTAGGACTGGGATGTTGTGTTGCTTGAGGAGGTCTGCGGGTCCGATGCCGCTTAGTTGGAGGATCTGGGGCGTGTTGAAGACGCCTGCGGAGAGGATGATTTCGCGGGTTGCGGTGGCGGTGCCGGGGGTTCTGGGGGTGTTGGGGGAGGAGAGAGGGCTGGCGCGGTAGAGGTAGGGGCCGTCGAGGAAGGAGACGCCTGTTGCTTGAGGGGGGTGGGAGGTGGTGTCGAAGAGGACGCGGGTGACGTGGCAGTTTGTGCGGATGGTTAGGGGGTATTTTTGACTGCCGTCTGGGTTGGTAGCGGAGTGGACGATGCGGAGGAAGTCTGCGGCGCCGTTGCGGACGTTGGAGGATGTGGCGATGGGGGTTTGGTAGTAGGCGGGTTTGGAGTCGCGGGATGGGGAGGGGGAGTTGACGTCGCCGAGGAGTAGGGAGATGAGGTTGGAGAGGATGGTTCTGGGTTGAGTGAAGACGGCACCGAGGAGGAGGGAGAGGAGTTGGGGGTCTTGGAAGACGAGGTTGATGGGGGCGTGTTCGGTGGAGAGCCAGCCGGTGTAGCCGTGGCCTGGGATGTTCGGGGGCAGATAGTGGTTGTTTTCGAGGCGGATGTAGTATTCGCGCATGAGGTCGGGGAGCCATGAGGAGTCGTTGGTGAGGTTGGCGATGTAGGTCCAGTCGGAGCGATGGGGGTAGATGGCGACGAGGGCGTTGTGGGCGGTGCAGCCTCCTAGGGTGCTGGCGCGGGTGTAGAGGATGCCTTTCATGATGGATCCTGGGGGTGGATGGAGGCCGACGTATTGCTCGCCGGTGGGCGTGGTGTAGACGGTTTTGGGGTCGCGGGCTTGTTGGGCGTCGTCGGCGTAGTGGCGGATGAAGAAGTTCCAGGAGAGATGGTCGTCTGCGGCGGCAAGGGCTGCGTAGGCTGGGACGGAGGTGTTGAGATTGTGAGCTTGGTCGGTGCCGGCTTCGAGGAGCAGGGTGGAGTGGCCTGCTAGGGCTAGGCGGGCGGCCAAGGGGCCTCCCCCGGCGCCGGAGCCTACGACGATGTATTCATAGCCGGTGAGGTTGATGGCTGCTGCTGGGAGGGTGGCCAGCAGTAGCTGGAGGAGCTGCCAAAAGGACAGCATGTTGGGTCGGTATGGGAATGGGCATGGTGGAAACGTGGACGGTCTGATCGTGAGAATAACGAAGGATGATAGGGACGGATCACATGGTGGCAGTTGTCCTACTTGAACTTCGTCTTGTGGGAGTGTAAAGTGGAAGAACACGGGATAGCGTTGCATCGGAGAAATGCTCCTCCATAGGTTTATGATCAGCTATCTATACGTACAACAAAAATGTGTATTTATCAACTACACCTCCTGGTGCCCCCGTCCCTCTCGCTGCAGCGCTCGCAGCTCCTCCACAATCCTGGTCCGATCCCATCCCTCTTCCAACCCCCGCAGAATCATCTCTTGTTCGCTCTCTGGTGCCATCCCACTCGGAGCAGGGGGGCGACGATCCAAGTTCGAGGGGAACGGATACCCATCTGCCACGGCATACACCCATGCCTCTAACTCTGCGTTTAGCCCTCCCTGCCGGCGATACTTCTCGCTGACCTCCTCCCAACATTTATCCACCACCGGCACCGCGTCAATGTGCTCCATCGTCTTCCCCAAGGCACATCCAATCTGCAACAGGTTGGCCTTGCGATGGAATCCCGTGCTCTCGGCCATCTCGTTGGCCCCCGCGGCATGGAATACCGCCGGATTGAAGAACAACCCATCGCCAAACTCCAACGGCAACGCCACATAGTTCTCTTTGAAGTATGCCCGGAAGTCGTCCCGGCGCCATGCCAGATATCCCGGCGCATATGTCTGGCTAAACGGCAGGAACCGTGTGGGACCGCTCTCCGCCGGCATCTCGCTGTGTGCGACGGCCCCCTGCAACGTGAGATACTGACTGGCGAGTTGAACACTCCGCGGGAAGGCCGCACATCGATCCAGCTCTTGGAATCCAAGATGGTAGTCTCGGTGGCTATCTTGGGCGGCGCCACCGGGCTTGACGATGTTGACCTGGGCGGTCACCCGATAGGCGGGGCCCAGCCAGGCTTCACTAACCACACGCAACCAGGGATTGCTGTAGTAGTTGATGAAGGAGCTGGGGTCGACAAAGGCATGCTTGCTGAAGGAGTTCCAGATGCGGTCGTTCTTCCCGCTGGCAGCGAAGTGGTCGCCTTTGGGATTCAGGGATTGGCGCTCCCGGTCGATGATGTGTTGGAAAGCCGTGTTGGTGGCGTTCAGGGTGTCTGCGTACCGGGAAGGATGGTACATGCCTTTGAGGACAAGGATGCCCGGTCCAGATTCAAGAATGTGATGCCATTCTGCTTGGAGAGCCGGGGTGGTATCCGCACTCAGGGGATCGAAGGTGGCGGCATCATAGATGGGGATGTTCTTCTGCACGGCCACGGCCAGCGGGTAGCTGGTGGGATCGGTGGTCTGGGAGCAGATTTTCTTGAAGTCCTCTACATTGACGGAATCCAGCTGAAATAGCCGATTGGAGCCGGTGCGAAATCCGTTGGAACCCATGTTGGAGATGGTTTGTAAGACGATTGATGTTGACTGCGTTGTCCACCAGCATGGGAGAGTTCAATAAATATATATCTGGGACGGAGGTGTAGTCCCGGATCCACTCCCACGTTAAATTCCGAACACAGCAGGTCACGCGCACAACCAAAGGAAGACGCGGTCAGTGGAGAATTCACGCTTGGCTGACTCGTACAGACTCCAGAAGAGGATGCAGAAGAAAAGAAAAGAACAATTGTGGGGAAGAGGATGGGATGCAGCTGCACTGCGTCGGAAGATGAATCCCGAGGGTGCCAAGAACACCCAGCAATCCGGGGAAAGACAACTGAGACTCTGATCCAGATCAGGACAGCCACTGCAACTCAGGGTATCAGTCTAACAACAGCCGTCGTATATGCATGTCCTCGTAGAGCTGCTATAATTACAAATGTACACCCAAATGCTCCCTCCCAACCGGTCCTGTCGTATACTCCGTGCTTCCGAGATAGATGAGATGTGCCTGTCCCAAACAATAAAAATATCTCCATCAACATGCAGAAACAAAGAAAAACCATCGTTGTAAGCTCCCCTTAATCTGGGGGAGGTGACGTTACGAAAGAAAGGAAGAATTCACAGCAATGCATCATCCAGCGGCCCATGCCAATCCAACTTATATCCAAAACATGAAGAATATTCCCAGCCTGCATGAAATTCTATGAGGACCCGGTTTTCACCCGAAAGAAAAGAATAATCAAACTTAAATCGCAATGCGGCGTCGCTCAAGCATTGAAATGACTATGCAATCATGGCCGTAGGGCCTACATCGGCGTCCAAGGCGGCGTCGGTCGGGGCCAGCTCCTCGGTCGTGTTCGACTCCCGCAGAATGAGCTGGTTCTCGGATAATGTCTCCACTAGCGAGCTTGGGCGACCAGCCACCGTGAACAGCACCTTCAGTAATACGCTCTGGCTCTGTCTGCCGTTTGGCAGCAATTCGGGCTGGTGCCGCGTATGAGTCAGAAAGGTCCGCACCAATGAGCGGATGTACGGATCTGTCGACGCATCTTGAATGACATCGAGCCCATGGATCACGCACACCAGCAGGGGCGGCGCAAAGTGCAGGAGTATATCGATCAGCGAGAGCACCTCCTTCCAGGACGTGAGCGAGCCGTTCAAAGGTTTAAACCGCTCGCCGCTCAGATCACACCCCGCATGACTTTCGACTACGGGAGGCAGATATTCTATCAACTGGCGGATCAGGCTGTACGCCAGGGCAATGAGGTGTTGCTCATAGGTCAGTTCGTTGGCGGCATCGGTGGATCGGTTGCAAAAGTGAGAGATCACAGGCAAGCCCGCCTTGCGAGCAAAACTCGCGTAACACGTCGAGACAAGCAGAACCGGGCTAGGGTAGACTGTCGATTGAGGGCCCCCCACGGCCAGGACCTGTGAGTGGGCGTCGGTCGCCCATTGTTTCAGCGAGGTCATCACGTTATCTTCCGCAATGACTGGAACGTCGACTTCGAGCGCGGGGATCTGGTCGTCGGCATCAAAGAAATCTTCGAGTTTCTGGGAAGCCATCTGCAATTCCATGCGTGTGTATTTATGCTTGTGCCCCCCTTTTATCAAGTTGAACCTGTCTGTGTCTTGTAATGCGTGCACGGTCAGCTCTTCGAGCAGTTCGGGCCATGTGAGCCTGGCTTCCCTACCTAAGTCCTGGGAAGCGGTCGTGGTCAAACAGGCAATGCCGCTGTTTTGTTTACTCACGGACTGTAGCTGTAGACTAACAGTATCCAGCAATCGCGCCAGAAGAACATCTCTGTCTTGCAACAATCGCTTACGCTCCGCCGCATCCTGATGAATCTCCCACATCAACTGACGGGTGAGGGCATTCTGCGCTGCAAAGCGGCGGGCCCCGTTCTGAAGACCCACCTGGCTCAATCGAGCCCGCTCAAACCACCCCCGATAGTCGTCATGGGTCATTTCACACAAGCTATCGCAGTCTGGGTCATCGAGGTCCATAGCGTCCGTGAGATCTTCCATCATACTTTTCGCGCTGCGTCGAATCTGGCCAATCAGGCGTTGAAAGGCACGGTACACGTCTTGGTTAGGGCTCCGCAGAAGCCCGCATTTGGCCTTTCTTACATACCAGTCCATCACTTCTCCAAGAAAGAAGAATAGGAGCGTGTAGAAGCGGGCAATGGCGTTGATGGAGTCCTTCGTCGTCGGTACTGCCTCGCCCGAGGCTGGCGGGGCAATGAGGCGGTTGATTTGGACCAGTGCTTTGATCAATCCTTCCATGATTCTGGGATAGCCCGCGGATGCCTGGGACTCACGATTTAGTTATTGACTGGGGGAGGGGGATACGAACAACATCCGGGCTCACCTTCAGAAGAGATTGCAGGACGCCGTAAAAGATCGAGCAGTACAATTCATTCCTTGGTAGAACGGCCAGTAACCTCCCGTGTGAGCCCAGGGTCGAACGAAATTCGTCGCAACATTCCCTCAACATTCGCTGTCCCGACGTGGACGTCCAGACGGGCTCGATGCTGGCGACGACGTCCAAAACATCGTCGGGACCTTGCAGACGTTCGTGGAAGAGCACTCGATCGTTGGGGAGGAGGTTATCCTGGAAGCGTTTCCAAGACTGAACCAGCTCGTTGTATTCTATATCAAGGGTAGCGATAACCGGGTTGCTGTCGGATGGTCAGTGGGACGAACGATCACGGTCTTGTATCCGCACCGTGCTCTAGCTATTCCGGAAGAGTATTAAAGCACGGACTATCTATCCTATCATGGGGGATGGAGCCTGTGTAGATCATCCGCGGGCACGACCAACACCAACACACATAGACACACAAGGTTGACGGGAAGTCAAACGAGTCACGAAGAAATGATGGTCCCACGAGACTCGAATCATGAAAGGAAGCAAGGGGGGGAGATTGGCTTACGTGGAAAGATGTCGCTTGTCGAAGCGTTTCTTCCAGAGATGGAGAGTTTCGGCCACGGGAGAAGTGGCCGGAATGGCGAGGGACGGAGGGGACATGGTTGCCGGGCAGGCGTGGGGGCTGCTGCTAACGGACGGCAAGGCACGACGAGCGCTGTCTCGTCGAGTGAGCCGACAGGTGCATGTCAGGGGCGGACGTCTGCGAGGGAGAAGAAGATGGGAAGGCTAAAGTTGGGCGGGATCGATCATCTAGCGCGAGGGGGTGAAAGTTGACAATAGAGAAGGGTGGAGTAGTAGTGGTGATGGATGGATAGATGGATGGATAGATGGATGGATAGATGGATGGATGGATGGATGGATGAGTGAGTGAATCAATGAATGAATGGATGGAGTTGAAGGTGAGGTTTCAGATTGAGACTTTTGGGGGGGGAAGCGGGAGGAAGAAGAGGGGAAGGAATGAATTAGAAGGGGGATAGGATAGGGTAGGGATTGGAAGGGAAATTGTTAATTGGAATTGGGATCTAAATGTCTGCGAAGGGGGAGGGAGAGATTGGGGAAGAATTGGAAGTAGTAGTGGCAGTGGTAGTAGTGGTAGTAGTAGTTGTAGAGGTAGTGAGGAAGTAGTAGGAATAGGAATGGCAGTAGGAGTAAAAGAACGGGGCGGTGGATTTGTTCCTGATCGCCTCGTTGGGGCCTCGATGAATGAATTCCCTGTCGATGGATTGTTTGACCGATTAAAGCCTCGTGGAGCGCATCCTGATCGCGTTTGCTTTAGCGGGAGGTCCCGCCCGGGAAAAGGGGACTTTTGATCTGGGGGAGGAGGGATAAAGACAGGTTGAAGACAAGAATGAGAAGAGAGAAAGACAACAGCGTCAATGGTGAGTTAGTTAGTAGTAGAGAGAGTTGGAGAGGAAGAGAAAGAAAGAGAGAGAGAAGAGGGGGGGCTTGGACACAGAAAAAAACATCCCCCCCAAGAGGACCAGGGAAAAAGTACTACGGTTACCAGTCAATGCAAAGCAGACTGTCTGTGCCTTCTTTGGCTCAATCGTTACTGATTTATTTGGCTTTTATTTTTCCATGTTAAGTGGATGATTTATCATTTCTCAGGTTATTGTTATTCTTAACTGCCTATTTTATTTAACGCATATTTTTGGTATTTGTTTCCACGATTATCTTCTTTCGGAATGGAGAGAGAGAGAGAGGGTGAGTGAGTGAGAGAGAAATAGAAAATAAAAAAAAAGTTAAGTTTAGGCTTCCACTGGGATGGATGGATGGATGTGTTATTATTATTATGATAATTATGATTATGATTGATTTTTTATTTAATTTCTTGTCTTGATCAGTAAAAATGGAAGGAAAAGAAAAAGAAAAAATCACAGAGGGAGGAGGGAAAAAAAAAAACCAATGTTCCTCGCAATTAGAATTCGAAAGGATTTGAAATTTCAGATGCACCGGAAATATCAATCATTTTAAGCTTCTCTGGTGCTTGATCGGGAAGACGGCGTCAGTAGTTCCAAACAGACAGCACCACCATTTGATCGCATCCCGTGTTGTTGTGGTGGTGAGAATTCAAAATAATAGGTAGGGAACAAAAAAAAACCCTGGAGCAGGGTGGTATAACATAGCAACGGGCCCCCTATACCTTCAGTTACAGAGAGAGCATCTGACCGGGTTCCCCGATCCAATTTACTACAATACCAGTTCGATGGGAGGCCTCGGCCCTCGACTGGGAGGAGAGAGTGACCCTCCTTCAACACCTTCAGCAGGGAAGCGGGCGCGCCTCCCTGGGCGGCGGTGGCCAATCAGTCTGGATCTCGCCGGGGGCTCCAGCGGTCGAGGCCCTCGAATAGAAGCGGGGAGTAGGACGCGGGATAACTCTTCCAGACCCTCGACCGCCATCCATTCATCCACCCATCCATCCATCCCATCCCATCCCATCTTTCGCTCTGCTGCTGCTGCTGCTGTTGCTGCTGCTGCTAATTTTGGTTCGGCCTGACATGGCATTCTCTCTCTGCCTCTTGTCTCTGTGCGCTTCCTGGCGCCCTTTTTGCCTTTTTTCACTTCCCCATACGAGCCTGAGGTTGACTCGTTCTTCTCCAGGAGCAAGTGGGGACTGAAACGTAGAAGTAGGGTAGGATTTTCCGCAGTCAGTGTCAATCAGTCAGTCAATTCCTTTGACTGAACTATAACCAACGGATATTTAGCTAAACTAGGCATGTCATGTCGTCTCTTTCTTCCCCCTTCCCCCCATAAAGAAAGCAAAGTACTGACTGACTGACTTACAGTAGGCTGGAGCTTTGACACCTGGAGCTAGTGCGTGATGGGTTGGATGACAGTGAACAAACATCCCTCCCCATCCACAATATTTTACTCACATTCATCCATCCCTCCTTTTTCTTTTATTATTTATTTTCTTCCCTCCCTTCCTAGTCAATGTTAATTGACTCTATTAATCAATCCCCCCATGAAAATAATAAATTAATGGCCTCACGCCTTGGTTAATTATTTTTCCCGTTTCATTTATTCTTTATCTTCTTCTCTTTCTACCTTTGTAGCAATTTAGTACTATCTTCTGTCCCTTTTTCCTTCGGTCTTTTCTCATTCCCCTAAGTAGCTATTTACCCCTTTAAGCACTCTTCTGCACTCTCACTGCCAACTACCAGCTACCCTACTCGGTATACCCTTGACCAAGTACGGAGTACACAAAACACAGTACTAATTTAACTCATTCCAGAAAACAAAAATCCCTACAGTAGAAAAGGACACCATCTGATCATACCACCACCCTATCCATGGCCCTGATACCCAGGTAAATAAAATAACTAGGTAAAACGATGAACCCGGTCGGTCGGTAAGTTCCCATCCATCCCATTCCATCGCATCCAAACAAAAAAAAAAAAGAAAGAAAGAAACGAACGAAGGAACGAAACAAAGCCCCAATCTTTTGTCTCTCATCCCACCATCCACCACACCCCCCTTTATCCGAGGGTCGGATGAGGCGAATCTGTCCAAGCCACCACCACATTCATTCCTTTCTTGAGCTTTGGTTAAATCGGGTAGTGAGTGCGGTAGTAACTTAGTACCTGATGTACGTGGCTTGGGAGTTACCTTCCATCATGCTTGGTACGGTACAATCCATACTTAGTTACTTACTTACCAGTTATCTACTACCTACGGATACATATCTACTACTCTGAAGCCAAGTTGAGTTGCGGGAATCTATCCACGACGGAGATTGGTGGCAGCTTGTTCCGTCGATAGGAATGTGTTTCCAGGTTGTCGGGTACTACTAGTCACTTCTACTGAGTAAGTAGTCTTCTTACTTGCTTACTTACATGATTAATTGGTTATGGGTATTGTTGTGTATGTATGTATGTAACCTTTTATGTTAGACTGGTGGAAGTTGGCCCCATTCTGTTTACTTTTTCATTTATCTATCTATCATTTATCCACTATATGTGGGTAGTAAAACGGTCCGTAATTTAGGATAGTACGTAGTAGACTTATCTCTATTAATCATGTAGAGAGCGAGTGTAGAAGGAATTAAGTAAGGAAGAAACAGAACACACGGACCAAGTGTTGCTTGCTACACTACACTACTTACATAGTAGTTTGTAAGTAGGTTAGTTATTTAACTAACTGCTGCTCCTGCTGCTGTCACAAGCCCCACGGTAGTATAGAACACGGTCGAGACCACCGCGATACTCCCACCAATCGTTGGCGGTGGCTGCTGCTACTGCTGATGCTGCCGCTGTATTTATCATCAACCCATCCTTCCATCCTTCCATCCCTCTATCCCTTTCTCTTAATTATTCCCCTCACAAGGATGGGAAAGGGTAGGGATGCATGCATGGCGGCGACGGCCTTAATCGGCTGTATCCGTAGCAGCAGGAGCAGTAACTCCGTAGTAGGTATTGAGTAGGTACATAGATAGGTAGGTAGTAGGTAGCACTGGGAGTAATCCTCGGCGGGAGCCCCTAATAACACCGTTGCGATATAACAGTATGTAGTGTGTTTTGTGGCGGGTTTGGTTCGTCGGTGCTTGCATGCTGGCTGGGCGAGTGCTACGGTCACCTAATTTCTGACTTAGTTAACTATCACTATCTTGCTAGTAATTCTTTTCTCGTGTTGATAGATGGAATACTGCCCAGTAGATAGTTCTTCTCAATGGAAGATGAGTACATCGTAATGGTGGTGGTAGTACTGCGCTGCTGTTGCGCGCCACGACAGATCGGAACCCTCAATAACCTATGGTCGTCTGATTGGGGCGTTCCCCTGAGGTAGAATCCATCTTCAGACATGTCATGTCATGTCTGTCATGTCTGCTCTACATCATCATCTACACCCTGCATAGTTGTGATGGTAGTGGTGATGTGGTGGTTGTCAATACTCTTGGAACGAGTGACGAGGGTGGCTATCACGCATAGGTTAAAACTGGGTGGTAGCTTTGGCACTAAAAGTAGCTCAGCTCAGCTCAGAAATAACCAGAGGAAGATCCTCCATTATTCAAGCAAGCGAGATCCGATCGCACTTTAAGCAAAAAACAAACATGAATTGCATTATGCTTTGTATGTTCTTGTTTTTCGCCCTGATTCAGTCGGTGGTCTGTTCTCCGTCTTCCAGTTTTCATCTACACCTAATTCGGCACGATCAACACACGCGACCGCCGCTGTGTGTGTGTGTGGGGGGGGGGATGCAGTGGGCAGGTCAGGTCAGGTCACATCAACCCTGCTAGACAATCCCACTTGATCACCCTACGATCCGCTAAAAGGATGGATGGGTGACGGATCAGGATTGATGGCTGGATGGATTGGCGGATGTTCGTCTCGCTGATCTACTATACTCCCTCCCAGGTAAGGTGCTGAAACTTACTTATTGACAGTAGGGACTGTGCTTGGTCGCCTGCTCGACATGGATGGCAAGTCAAAGCGAGAAGATAGAGGGAAAGAGATGTGACACATGTCACACGGCGTGTTGGAAGCAACCCATCCCAGCAACGACCAGATGGGCTAGAACATTGTCGGCTGAGGAAAGCGAGTCTGCAAAGTGGGGGAAGTGGAGGACACCCCAGAGACCGTCTTCTTTTTACTGCTAACCTCCTGGTCGGAGGAATGTTGCTGTCTGGAGAAAATAGCGAGCTGAACAAGCTGAGGATGGGCGGATCCCCCCGATCGGCCTAATCCATAGCTTATTCCGGACGGGGCGAGTGACTGGCAGGGACCCTAACCCTAGTGCTCAAAGAGGGAATCCCTGCATGAGGATGAATAAAATTGTGTTCGCCATTTTATGCAGATCATGAACAGTCAGTCAGTCCCTTCGGTTTTGGTCAGATGAGATGCAATGCAATCTTGCGCCCGTTCCCCAGCTGCCTCGTCATCTTCACAGCAAACATGCTCGCAACATCGCCGAATCCCCGCAAATGGAGACGCATGGACTCCGGCATCGGAGAGTCCGTTGGAGACATGAACACAGACTCACGGTGGACGTGCTTGATTCACCCCCACCTTGAGAAGCGGAGAATCACCGGCGAAGCAAAAACGGGGATGAGTTCTTGGACCTTCCTGATCGGGACAGAAACGGAAACAAATCCGGTCAAAAGGCAGGGAAGGTTAGTCAGCTCGACATACCTACCTTTTTCCGTTACGGGTAACCATCGCCATCAAGGGATCTGATCTGATCCCCTCCAGATCATCCGATCACTGGTGAATTGGCGACGGAGGATGGTTTCGTCTGCACACCATCATGACCAATTGCTCCTGCTCTGGCTGGATAGGGAGGAATCCACGTTGGAAGAAATCGGAGTTGGCGAGGAAAAAGCAATCAAATTCCCATCCCGCGAAAGGGTCCATGCGCGCTCCCTTCAACCCAGCAGCAGCAGAAGCAGCAGCTAGAAAAGGTGTGGACGAGAGGACATCCTTTACCCCGTTCTCAAACGAGACCCATGCACGAGCGCAACTGTCAGCTTTTTATATGGTGCGGTGCGGTGAGAGAGATCTCATCCCTTCTGCATTGCTGGAAACGGGACCCCTTGATGGGATGGTGCTGGATCGGGAAAACAAAGTTCAATGAATGATGCAATGCCGCACGGTGATCTGGCTGCCTATTCGTGCTGCTGCATCCATCAATTGGGGGGTGGGTGTGTGTGGGATAGATTATGGTTAATGCTTTCTTGTGGTGCGCGTGTGTTGACCAGGGCCACCTGTCTTGAGGGTTAATCAATCGGAAAGTCAATCCCCGTCAGCCCTTTTTTTTTTTTTTTTTCCTCCGATTGACAATAGCCTGTCTGGCAGCTGGTTATCTTTGCTAGTGAGCTGGCTAGCTACGGAATTACTGGTTATCTTTTAGTTAGTCACCGGAACCATGAACGGCTCCCGTCCGAAAATTGGGACAAGCACAAGCGATCGGCGGGTTTGCCCAGGATCCCCCGCACTCGGTCCAGTTGCAGCTTCTTTCTCCTGCCTTCAGGACCAGTCATTATTCTCCTGTGGAATGGGGGATTTTCATTGCCATTGGGTTACTTGTCTGCTTGTTCATTCCTCTATGACCCCCCTCAAGAATTGTTGTAGGCGGAGATTCCGATCGCGGGTGGATTGACATTCACCCCAATCTAATCAGAGGGAGGGCAGAAGAAGAAGAAGAGAAAGAAGACCAAAGTGGATGCGACCAGGCTTATCTTATCCTGCCCCATCTTTTTCCTTGGATTCTCCAATGTTCTATTTGTGATTCCATTTTATCTCTTGCTTTTGAGTCTAGTCTAGTCCTAGTGTCTCTCTTTTGACACACTGTCTCTTGTCGGCGTCCCACTTTTTCTTCCTTTCGGCTCTCAGTGAACCGCAAGCATCCATCATCACGCCGCAAATCCTCGGCCACGACTATCTGCAAGCAATCAGACCGAGGCGCTGCGATGAATAATCCTTCATCCACCGGCATCGCTCAGTCGATCCATGGAACTTCCGCCGGTTGCTCACTGCTCTTTACTTTCTCACTCTTGCTCGACCCTCTCGTATTCGCTTGCTGTCTCCCCTGATTGAACTAAAAAGTTGGAAACAGGCAGCGTTTACGGCTCATTCTCCTCGGGTGGATTGGCTGAATTTATTGATTGATTGATTGACTGATTGATTGAATCTCACTCCAAACAACCCACCGGGCCAGCAGTAATAAGAATAGTAACGAGGCTGACAGGCCAGTGGCATTATTATTATCATTATTATTTGTCTTTCTCTTATTTCATCCGTCGCTTTTCCTGCCGGATCGCCCGGCTGCGCAGCTCGCCAGCCATCCGCCAACCTCCCCTCGTCTGGTGGATAATCATCA